TAAAGCCAAATTCATCATTCAACTATTCCAGCTTCTTATAAAACCTGGAGTTTTGGAGGAACCCATTAGCAAACAGGCATTACAGCTCTGCTCCAATATGACTGATCCCTCAGCAGTGCACGAGGGAAAGGTGTCCCTGTCCATGGCAGGGAGGCTGGAATCAGGGGGTTTTTGAGGGTTTTTCAAACCCAAGCCATTTTAGGATTCTCTAATGACATTATCCTCTTTAGAAAAAACATACACTTTTAAACAATCACCTCTGTTGCAGATGTGTGCCCCCAAAAAAGAGTCAATACACATCTAAGCAGTCAAATGCTTTAGAGAGCACTTTCCCGTATTAAGGTACACAGTTTTCTGTATTAGGTTATGACCAAAAAACCCAAATGTGTTTCATCCACAGTATTAACAGCAGACAGCTTTCCTGATTTCCTCATCAAAGGAGGTTGCCCACAAAAATAAAATTTTTTGTAGAAGTAGGTTTAAAACTGGACAGAAAAAGCCAGTGTTAGATGGTGGCAGAAGAGCCTGCTAAAAACATCATCTACATCATCCCTCTTCAAATTTTCCTGGGCATCTTCACAGTGAGTGTGTAAGACACAGATGAACCACCACATACCTCCTTCATTTCTTCCCTGCTTATGTAAGCACCAAGTTTCATAGCCAGTCTCACCCCTCCCCATTCGAGCCACAAGAATCTGCTTTTCCCTTTTTTTTTTTTTTTTTACTAGAAAGCATTGGTGGCACATTTTATTCCAAAGAAATATGAATCCAAAGGGGGAAAAATATGTGCAAGTGAGGTAAGGAAGGAATTTACAAAACAGCCAAGGCAAGTTTCATGCTGTGCCCTTAAAGCAAGTGCTGCAAATGAAGGCAGGAGACCAGCACAGTGCACTTGCCTTGAACCAGAAGTACAGGCTCATCTGCTGTGTGAACTGGCAGGGAAGAATCTTATCCCACCGATTAAGGAGTGGGAGGAGATCAGCCTCTTTTCACTTCAGGCACTAATATCAGCTTGCACTGTGGTCTCCAAGTGTCAGCCCTTGAAGAGACATTTAAAGCCTTGCCAGCAGAACACACAGAAAGCACTCCTACAGAAAGCATTCTCTGCAATTAGCCCTACTGCTGCAGCTTTCACGTGTCTCAAAACTGTTACTGTTAAATATTGCTTGGGAAAAAAAAGGGTTTAATACATTTCAGGTCAAACTTCTGAGAGAAAAAAATAAATGCACAGAAAAAAAAAATTCTTCCTCCAATTTTACCTGGTAGCCCCTGAGAATTAACAAATTGTTACTCAGAAAAACTGGGCTGCCCACTCCTGGCTTGCTGTTCTGCCTGAATTAACAATAAATACTTGAATGCACACAGGAATTTGTCTCAGGACCAGGCACATCTCAACAGTACAAGCCAAAGGACTGGCCTCAGACTCTGCAGCTGGAAACCAAGTGTTTCAAAAGCATGGCAGCATGGTATGGTAAACCAGGACCCATCACTGCTCTGACTCCCACCAGTGCTGGGAAACCAGGGAAGGGAGGAAAAACCACATATTTTAATTATCCTTCCAGCTCAGAAAGGCCCTGGCAATAAGAGCTGTCCTGCACTCACTGATGTGTGGAAGCAAACCAGAGAATTTAACCAGACCTCCAGATTAATTATTTACATCTTTGGTTGGTAACAACAACAAAGCAGCTCTGAATGAGAAGCCAGAAGCATTCAAGCTTGTCAGACCTGTGCCTTTCCTAAAGCCTCATCATCAAGAATACATCCTCTAATAAATACAGAAATTGATTCACATCTCTGTGATTCAGGAGTGATCAACACCCTTATCTTCAGAGGGACTCCCCATGTCCTGGGCTAATCCCACAGTGTGGGCAGCAGGAAAGGGGGGAATTCTGCCCCTCTGCCTGGCTCAGGTGAGACCCCACCTGCAGAGCTGCTGGAGGAAGCACCAGGATGATCAGAGGGATGGGACAGCTCTGCTGTGGGGAAAGGCTGGGGGAATTGGGAATGTTCCTCCAACAGGAGCCCCATCCAACAGGAAAGATGGTGGAACACAAAGGGACTGGAGTGACAGGACAAGGGGGAATGGCTTTCCACTGCTGACATTGGATATTGGGAAGGAATTCTTCCCTGTGAAGGTGGGCAGGCCCTGGCACAGGGTGCCCAGAGAAGCTGCGGCTACTCCTGGATCCCTGGCAGTGTCCAAGACCTGGATGGACAGAGCAACCTGGGCTAGTGGAGGTGTCCCTGCCCATGGCAGAGGGTGGAACAAGTTAAATTTTAAGGCCCTTTCAACTTAATACATGCTGGAATTCTGTGATCAGGTCACAATTGTTGTGCTCACTGTTTTCTTCGACTTCAGAAAACACTTTTCATGTACCCAGCTTATACTTCCCTATGAAACTCGTGCTCACCTTGTCCTCTTTAGCTTCCCTTCCCTGGAGAAAAAAAACAAAACAAAAACCAACAAAAAAAGCAAACGAAAACAGCCAAACCACTGGCACAGTTACCCTTCTTTGTGCTGCCTGGCACGAGGAGGTGCCAGGTGAGGAGATGATGCTGCCTCTGGAGCACACCTGCAATCCTGCCCCACCGCAGAGCAGTCTCCCACAAGAACTTTCCCACATCTCCCCCTGCAACTGAGAGCTCTCTGCCAGAAGCCCAGCTATTCCTACTGCACAATTTCTCAATCCTATGTGTAGACTCTTCATGCAAAAGTCACCCAATTACTTTAAAATGAGGGAAATGAAGTGCAAGATTGAGAAATGTCATAAATATGAGGTGGTGGGCAGGAGAGGAGCCAGTTTCCAAACCCAAATCATTAAAACACTTTCTTTCACTGCCATAGTAATAGCCTGTAATGGTAGCACCTGGAAACTTTTAACTCAGACCAGCAGTGTAAATATATTTCCAAGTAATCCATGCTCCACAAGAAGCCTGCCAGGGCATGCACACGGCTTAAAGCATGAAAGACTACACGCACACGCAATAAATTCATTTATTGCTTTTTAACTCCCAGAAGGGAGTTAGGGCTCTAAAAAGCCTTCTGAAGTAGTAAAGCAAGTGCTTTAACTTCTGGTTATTTAACATGGCAGCAGTGGAAAAGCGCTCCTTATGTTTCTGAAAAGTTTGCAAAGGGAAATGAAGATGGCAGAGAACCAGGTGTACAGATCCCAGTGTCACAGCAGGTTCCCCTCCAAGGAAGGGGTAGGTGCCAAATATCTTGTGTTGATCACTGCTTGGGATTTTCTGTATTTATGTTTTATTATACCTGCAAGACACTTGTGGCAATGAAAAACTTCCTGCAGGTATCCTTAACATCTCTACCTGGCATCTGGGGGCTAAGATTAAACTATTTCCAAAAGTTACAGAATACCCAAGTGTGCAAATATTAAATAAATGTGTCATTTATGCCAGTGAGTTACTAAGCAGATTGTGATGGGTATCTGGCTGAGCTTTCAATGACTCTGGTATTTCAGAGGGACATCCTGCCCTACCCAATTTCTATCTATAAAAAGCTTTCACAGGTTTTCAGATGACAAGCCCTTAATTGCAGGAGCTTTAGTTTTCACACCTAAATTTCAGTTTACCAAGACACCCTTTGCAGCATCAGCTTTTAATCTGCAAAGGGGTCATCAGATTCATTAAGTCACCTGTAAATTAGATGGTGTCAGCTGCCAGGACACCCCTATTTACTTTGCTACCCAAACAAAACACGTGGTGCCTGTTTAGCACAGCCCTCCCACGGCTGCTCCCAAGTCCCCCCACCCCAGCTGCCAGCTCAGCAGTGACAGCACTTCCCAGGCTGGGCTAGGCTGCAAGAAACATCCTTCAGAAAGCAGCAACTGCAGCAGGAGAAGGCTCCCACCTTCCCCAAGCTCTGTGCTTGCAGCAAGGGAGCTGAGACACATCCAGACCTGCCTCACCAGAAGCTAAGCGTGGGCAGCCTGCCCAGGAGCTTCTCTGTGGGCTGGCTGCTGCAGCCTGCACTGGCACTGCTCTGCTGTCACATCCTGAGCCACATCCTGCTGCCACCTCCTGATTCACTGCTCCAAAGCTCAGCCAGATCCTGCTCTGCACCCTAAAGCAAATGTAGGACCACTGAGTTACAGAACGGCCTGGGTTGGAAGGGACCTTAAAACCATCCATTCCACCCCCTACTATGGGCAGGGACACCTTCCACAATCCCAGGGTGCTCCAAGCCCCATCCAGCCTGGCCTTGGGCACTTCCAGGGATCCAGGAGCAGCCACAGCTTCCATGGGCACCCCGTGCCAGAACCTCACCAGCCTCACAGGGAAGATGTTTTTCCTAATATCCAATCCAACTCTGCCCTCTGTCAGAGTGAAGCCATTTCCTTTTCTTCCCATCCCACATTAATTCCTAGTATGTATTCCCAGACCTTGCCCCCAGACTCCCTACTTTTTCTTTCTCCTTCAAAAATCTACTGAAAAAACTAAATTGTGATTACTGCTGTCCCTCTTGCAGCCACTCTGCCGTTTCACTGAATGCACATCACCAAGCACAAGTTTTGAGAGCTTTTGGTTCAGTTCACCAGGTAGGTAATGCTTTGCCAAGTGCAGTTTCTACCCTTGCCCCTGCCAGGAGCAGCCCATCCTTTTCACAAACTTGGGGAGGGCACCAGCTTCATAGCAGGAAGCAGAACAACTTCCCACTGGAGTTACACAAAGGGCCAGGAATCTTCCATATTCATTGGATTTCTAACGAAGTGATAAGAATCCACCACCTCCACAAAGAAGCTGCATACTTCAAAGTTTAACATTAAACAAGAATTACTAACCACCAGGATTTTCTGTGAATAATTATGCCAGCTTCACCGAGATAAAATCCTTGCCACGATCCGCGTTTTTTCCAGCTTTTCTATGATCAACATTAGCTCCACGCAGACTATTTCAACAAAACACAGACGAGCCCTCTGTTCCAGGATCTCTGAACATCCTCCTCCCTGGATACAACCCAGGCACCCCCAAAGCCCCGGCCTTACCTCCTTCTGCTGCCTCTCCAGCTCTTTCATCCGGATCTCCCGCGCCTCCGCCCGCGCCGCTCGCTTCGCCGCGAGTCTGGCTTCAGCCTGGGAAGGGGAACACAGGGATGGGATGAGATCAAAGCTGGGCAACCCAACGGGGAACAAGCTCTGGAAGCAGGGCAGGGAATGGGGAGGTCTGACTGGGCAAGGCTGTAAACACATCTGTAGGAGTTAATTCCCTATTGCAGGTAATGGCCCTGCCTTCCCTAACTTGTTATCGTAACACCCCCGTGCAGGCACTACCCTCCCTGAGCACCCTTGTATTTAAAAGAGATCTTTAATTATTATTTGTGTGGCTGGAGAGGAAGCAGGTTGATTTATTTAAGAAAGGCAGGTTTTGCTCTTTTTGTTTTGGGTTGTTTTGTTGGTTCCCCCCCCCCCCCCCCCCCCCCCCCGCAGCGTGGATTATTTTTTATTGATGAATTAATTTGACCAACAACAAACACATTATGTGCCATTTTTCCTAACCACTGACACTGTGCACACATACCTGGGCACAGGATTTGGGTAAACACTGGAGTTCAGTATGCACAGCTAAGGCTGAAATTATGGAGAGAAAATGCACTAGCTCCATTATAAATCTCCAAAATTCCATATTCCAGTCCAAACCTCGCTGGAATGGAATTCTGCCAAGAACAAGAACAGACCTCTCAAGAGATCTACAGTGCTTCCTCACTTCAGCCCAGTTGAAAGTGATGGAACATCATATAGAGTAACATTTTTAATATTCTGCTTTAAATCCCAGGCAAAGCCAGTAGATCTTAGAGAGGAAAAAGTAAAATTAGCTCAGGCTTGGTACAGCACAACGGTGAGCAGCTCAGAACAGCTCAGCAGGGAGCCAAAGGCACAGCTCACAGCCAGTCACCCTGGTGTTACACCCAACTCCTCTGCTTCTGAAACCTTTCACTGTTAAGTACAGCATCCAAATTGACAGGAAAATCCACCATAACAGCAAGGTCAAGCACACAGAGAAATCAAAACACTGGTGTTTTCAGTAGTGCTTCTAAACAGAAGGAAAACCACCAAAAAAGAGAAAGGTGTAATTTCTTTTCCCTTCTTTAAGTGCAGTCACCACTCAAACCCAGGGGAAAGGGTCACAGCCTTCAAAAGCACAAACCAAACATGGGGGAAAAAAGCCAAAAAAAGGGAGAATGATGGTTGAAACTTGCAGTTAACAGAAAAGGGCTGATGAAAATCTGAAAATCAAGCACAAGCTGATGCACGGGAGGACCAGGAGCCTTGTGATGATGTAGATCTTAAAACCTCAGACTGGAGGAGACCAAGAGGGGATCTCATCAATCCATACAAATCCATACAAATATCCCAAAGACCATCAAGAGGGTGGTGACAGACTCTTCTTAGTGGCAGGATGAGGAGCAATGGCCATAAACTGAACCACAAGAAGTTCCACCTCAGCACAAGAGAGAACTTCTGTTCACTGAGGGTGGCAGAGCATGGAACAGCTGCCCAGGGAGGCTGTGGAGTCTCCCTCTCTGGAGGCATCCCAAACCCATCTGGACATGTTTCAGTGTCACCTGCTCTAGGTGACCCAGGGGATTGGACTGGGACTCCAGAGGTCCCAGTGAAAAATGACTTCTAGAAAGGAAACAAGGCTTCTCAGAGAATTTTAAAAAAGCCCATGGCAGAAAGAGCACAGGGCTGGTTTTGCACAGAGCTGCTCTCCCTTGAGTTCTTTGCCTGAATTTCGGGGTAAGTGGCTCTGCCATGGACAGAAACTCGTAGCAGGAGCAGACCCTCCACACCTGCACCCAAAACCATCCCCTGCCATAACCTGTTACTTACAGAGCCAGGTGACAGCAGGCTCTGGGTGCAGGCATGAATCCCCAAATGTGTTTTCAACAACACCTCCCAACCTGAAGCAGTCTGTGCAGGAAAAGAAAGCCCCAGCCCTGCTGCTGGGCAAAGCCTGGGTGAATCCCTGGCAGGCAGTGCCCTGACCCACCTGCAGTGTTTGGAATTGCTGATGACACCCAGTATCCAAACATGCCCTGAAAAGTGTGCTGAAGGCACGAAATCACAGCTCTGGAAATAAGCCTGGTATTGACTTGATGTGATCCCTCCTGTTTATTCAAAAATAAACACTTCTGTTTATTTAAATAAACAGTGGCAAACCCCACCTGACAGAGGTGAGGAATAACACCAGCACAAACTGGTTTTACCTTATGGAAAACAAAGGTCCCTAAAGTCTCCATAAGCAAAACACACCAAAAAGTTGGGGATACACACATACAGGCTGTGTATCCCCAACTTTCCTCCCGACAGAAAAAGATTATTTGGATGTTAACATGATTGTAGCTGTCATCCTCATGAATTTCAATAACCAGCTGAGCTTTCACATCAGAACTAGGTGCATATATGGAAAATTCAGATATAATTCAAATGATACATATTTCCCCTTGTTTTCCTTGTATGATAAGGGCCAAAGGACTTACACATTTGCTAGCTATGTTGCAGAATTATATATTCTCCCAGAAGCAAGCACAATACAATATGAAATGAAGGAACTTGAAAAATAGGAAAATAATTTTAAAATTTAGCCAGTTTTTTTCCGACCTTCCTGAGAATGAGGCTTGTCAGTTTCTAAATTACAGATACCAACTGCAGGAAGTTAAATGAATTTTACCTTGTGCAAAACCACACATTTTGTGTGCCATTTCTTAGGATATAATTCTGCTTTTAGTGCCAATCCATGGTGCATCTCTACTTTATTCTATTTCATCTTTGCAGCCCTCCAGCTGCCCATTTAAAGCCAACCTGCAAATCTTGTAAGAATAAAAACACATTTTCACTCAGCAGCTTTGACTAACAATGGCTTACATCTTAGAATAAGCATATTGTTTATTTATGCATTTTTCTTTCCATGACCACATCAGCCTTAAGTATCTTTGAATAAAAAAAACAGAAACAGTATCCTGGGTTCTTGAACTTTAAGCTAAAAACCTGTGGTCATCAGAGACTGGTACCTTTGTAAGAAGTCATCGAGTGTTATTCCATCCTGAACACTCATATTTTAAAGCAACTCATTTTCATCACATTGAAACAAATAATTACAGAATTGTTTGGGCTGGAAGGGACCTCAGGAGGTCTCCAGTCCACCCTCCTGCCCAAAGGAGGGTCAGCATCACATTCAGATCACACTGCTTAGGGCTTGGTCCAGATGGCTCCTGAAAACCTCTGAGTTTGGTGGCTCTGCAGCCTCTCCAGGCTCCTGTTCCCCTGCCTGACCATCCTTGTGGAGTAAAGGAATAAGTCCCCACCAAATCATACTCTTGGCTCCTTAGTAACCCCAACTTCTCTGTCAGAAGGCTGCTGTCCCTTTAGGGCTGCATCAAGCACTAAGGAATATTTTCAAGCACGTTCTCAGGGATGTCTGGGTGCCATTTAGATGATTACACAGTTATTTTCACCGTGGTTCCTGACCAAACACCAGCTCATTTGTGCTGGACAAAGGAGGGTTTGTAAGAAACAGGCCATCCTTCCCTAAAGGGTTTTTGAGCCCACAGCAAAATGAGAGAAGGGGGGGACAGGAAATATGCAAAAAGGAGAAAAAAAAGCCTTCAGTATGTGAGGCTACCCACAAGTCTTGGAGGGTTCTCTCCAGCTCAACAGAAATACATCATGCTATAGCCAGGCCAACCATCAAATGGTCAACCTGTGGCCTTCATAATCTCATTTCTAGCATGCTTTGGTGGATGGAATTACTTAACTCAGAATGAATTGTTTTTCAATACTCTGTAGGTGGCATTGGCGATGAAGCTGGTGTCACCTGTGAGCTCAGAGGAGGTAAATCCATCAGGAGAGGGAGGAGTCCACATCTCACTGGGCAAGAGGTTATCAAAGTCAAACCAAAGGCTGGTAGCAAGCCTATCAAATCCTGCAGTGAGGGTGGGAGCCGGTTGCACACAGGTTTTCCTGTGCCAAAGCCCAGCTCAGGTACAGTGGGTGCCCCCCAGCACAGCACAGGGCATGGACACCCAGAACAGCCCCAGCTGCTCAAGCTGTGAACCTTTAGGAGATGCAAGAATAAAAACACAGGCCAGACGTTCAGACACACACAGAGGAGTGTCAGATTTATTGTGGGCCTCTTCCTCAGCAGCACGGGCGTGATGGAACGCATCGGGGTTTGTCAGACCACACTCTCTGAGCCTCTTGGACTCTGCTCTGTGCTATAAATACCTTGATTTCTTGCACAGCCTGCAAGCAGCAACGCTAACTTTACATTTCTCTCTCTGTGCTGACTAAACCAAAACAGGCTTTGCCTGGCTGACTTTGGTCTTTGTCCAGCCCAAGCACTTGACAGAGCCGAGTCACCTCGAAGGGCAGTAGCAGAGACACACTGCAGCCTGCAAGAGACACTGCTTAACATTAGAAAACCACCCAAAAATTCACATGCTTCTGAATTCAGCTTACTAAAAGCTGTTCTTTAGGCTGCCTAAGGCATAAATAACTATTCAAAGAATGAAAGATTAAAAAAAAAAGAAATTAGAAATCACTAAGACTGAAGAAGTCCCTTTGACTTCTTAAAATCATCTAAAATTCATCAGTGACTCAGCAAGCAATACAAGCCTCAATCAAAAGTGACAGATCACTGTCAAAAACAGAAGAATAAAAATACAAAGCCTAATTGCACTCATTACAAAGCTTTTGCAACTTCCCTTTTATGAAATATTGCTCATCTGACAAGAAGAACTGGCAGCTTCAGCCCTACTGAGCATGTCATACCAAAAAAAACCCAAACCTCATCAGAGGTTTCTGTAAGGCCCCATGGGCAAAACGAGAGGAGATGGCAACCAGACTGCTGAGATGAACACAGAACTGGGCACCAGCTGAAAAATCATCACCCTAATTTATGGGACTCGCTCAAATGCTACAAATATACACACTGAATTCTTGGGTTTTTATTGCAGTTGCTCAGAATGATTTACAGTCACCAAGCCCTGAAAGAAATGCACTGTTGAACTGCAGAATGCTCCTTGCTTTTGCTGGGCTACTTGCTCAGCACTTGACACTCCAGATTAAGGGTCACTCAGCCTGAAAATAAAACCCCAGCCCTGTGAAGCAGCAAATCTTTACCCTGGCTTAAGGAGTTCAGTATGTTTAGATCTGAAGAGGGAAGAACTGAGCAGGTTGTAACAGGAGCACAACCACATGTGAAAAAAACACCAAACCAGGTATTGGGTGTCAGCTGGAAAGGGTGAGAAGCATCTTCTGCTGCCTGCAGAAGTGGGAGCATGGCATGTGCAGCTGCTGTGGAGAGACCCCTACCCCACAGAGCCCCTTTTCAAACCCCACTGGTGGGGACCAGGCCTGGCTGTGCCCGTGGCCGGGGGATGGAGCACAATGGTGACGGAAGCCGCGGCTTCCTGGCCCCGCGCGCGCGCCGGGGAAGCTGCGCTGTCATCATCGCACGATGAGAGAATTATTGAGGTGAGCTGCTAAGGTAGAGGCCGGTGACACACACACACACACATCCTGAAGGTGTGCATTCTCAGAGCCTTTCCCTCCTGGAACAGCCAGGGCTTCATTGTTCGCCTGGCAGCCCCAAGACACAGCCAACAAAGGCAGGAAGTTACGCTGCTTTTCTGAGCGGTGACAAATGACTATGTTGACTTGCCACATAGTTACATGTGTAAGAGTTTTCCAGCTATACAAAGCACCCCTCAATTCCAGTGCACTCCAAATTACCTGCTTCTAAGACTAGTAATCAAAGCCAGTGTCATATTTGTCGTGGAGGATTGAAGTGTTAGCTTGCCAGCACCAAACCATACCCGGAAAAGCTCTCTGATCCCACTGCCAGAGAAACCTTAAAACACAAGTCTGCCTGACTAAATTACACCTGCTCCCTGTAAGCAGCCACTGCTGGGCATTGCTGCAATAACTATTCTCAGGCTGATTTAAACCTCTTGCCAACATGCTTAACACACAGCCAGCCAGTCATTTTTGAGACCAACATAATTTTTCCTGATGGATGCTGTCCCATTCCAGTATTCTGTATCCTCTTCCTCAAATATTATAGGACTGTTCATTCTGTTTAGCCAAGTCACACTCCATCAGTCAAAAACCTGATAAGGTTCCTTGCCCTCCTACATAATTTAAAGTCTGTTTGGACAAGCAACACCTGATTTGCAATATTCCTGTAACACAGCTGACCAACATAGCTACCGGGTAGAGCCAGTGCTAACCCATGGCAATGTTTTTCCCATCTCCATTTCAGCAGCATGTGACCTAATCCAGGAGTTCCAGGAGCTCACCAGGTGAGTGGTGACTATTTAGCATGGAAACAAGAGGGACTATATTTAAGAGGTCAAAGCAGCATATTCATCTGACATTTTTTTTGCATATGAGTTATAAATACATACAACACTTTGCACCACTTACTCATATGGTAATGAACCCGTGAATCACATAGGGCTCGGTCAGTCCACATCCTGCTTTTACCCCTCACCTTTCTCTTAAATGCAAATTACTATTCAGAGGCAGCAGGCTGATGAACCTTAGCCTACACGTAACCATAGGGATGCCCTTCTAATACCCCGACAGCCCATTCCGGGCAGGTCTGACAGCTCCTGTCCCCCTCGCAGTGACAGCGATGAGCCCGAGTGACAGCTCGTGTCCAGGGATGCCCGACCCACCCGCGGCCACCTGATGGTCCCACGGGGCTGCTGCCACACTTTACCCAGCAATCATTTCCCAGGTTCCGCTGGCACGACGGCTCCCGGAGCAGCTCAGAGCTCACAGCTCACGTTCTGCTCAGCGATTGTGCGAAGCGATCCCGGGCTGCGCGCCGGCCGCTCCCGGGCACCACACGGAGCTGTCCCGGCGGCGCTGCCCGAGCTCCCCCGCAGCCCCCCGGCCTTACCTGCTGCTGGGCAGCCGGGCTGAGGCACTCGGCAGCCGCGTCCATGGCTCCCGCTGCCGCCGTCTGTCCCCGGCGGGGCCCGCCCGGACGCGCCCGGCCCGGGGGCGGAGCGGGGAGCGGGCGGGGAGCGGCGCTCGGCGGCCCGGCCGGGACAGCAGCGAGGGAGAGCAAACACACGCACAGACACACACACACACACACCTGCCGGGCATCGCTCCGGAACCCCCACGGAAAGTGCCTCCTCGCCTCCTTTGTGTCCCCGAGGAGGATAAACAGAGCATCCCAAGAGCTCGGCGCACGCCCGCCCTCCCTCCGGGCTGCACATCCATGCTTATAAATGTATATTCCTGTTCACGCCGGGCGGCCTTTGCATGGCACAAACAAACCGCCCCACCGCTGCTAATTGCTGCAATTATATCGGGGCTGAGGATTGCCTTGTGTAGAGCCGAGCTTAAAACGAGCCATCCACGCTGGTGTTGGTTTTAATCTTTCAGAAATGGAATAATGGGAAAAAATTTTCAAAACTGTGATTGAAGTATGACGGTACTGCAAAAGAGCAATCGGGAATAGTGGCTGGCCAAAAAAAGGACACCGTGCATTTCGAAAGGTGATGAGGTGGATGAGCCTAAGGCATAGAAGGATTAGAGGGCACAAGTGGCTTTAAGTGGCACTAAACGGAACGATACCCCAAGAACAACTGGAGACACGGTCAGAGCAGATATCCTGGCTCCACAGAGGTTAATGCCACCTGTTGATTCCGCCGGATTTAACCCAAAGCATCTCTCGATTCCCCTGACTTCACCTGAAGCTCGCACACCCATCCCTCCCCTCCCAAAGGCCAGGGAGAAACGCCCGGGGGCCGGGAGAGCTGCGAAGCCTCAAGAGCTCGTTTTACCCACTGCCATTCCTCAGCAGCGACAGCAGAGCACTCGGGGAGTCATCTCTTCCTGGCACGGGATTCTCCAGGGCCAGCCAAACAGGTTGCTCCTTAGCAACTCAGCCTGCGCCCTCCTTCCCGGTCAGGAGCCCAGCGAAGCCTCCACCCAGCGGCTGAGCTCAGTTTTTCCATGAGCTGCCTGCCCAGCACAAGGAATCTGGCTGCTCAGGCTGGCACAGCACACCCTGCCATGCTGCTGACTGTATTTTAGCTCATTTGGAAGCGCTGGCACTGTTTTACATTTGGGGGCGATAACTTGGCAGTGCCTGGACCCAAGCCATGTCCCTGGGAAGGCCAGTCATGCTTCCTTTAAATAAGAGGGATTAGGGATGGTCTAAGTTGCACCCTGCCCCTGGGAGAAGCCCTGCTTAGGTCAGGTGAAGCTTTACAATTGTAAAATAGGCTGGTTTTATGTGAATCGTAGAACTGCAGAATGGTTTGGGTTGGAAGGGACCTTAAAGCCCATCCAGTCCCACCCTTTGCCACAGGCAGGGACACCTCCCACTGTCCCAGGTTGCTCCAAGCCCCATTCAGCCTGGCCTTGGACATTTCCAGGGATCCAGGGGCAGCCACAGCTTCTGTGGGCCTCAGAATTCCTTCCCAATATCCCATCTAACCCTGCCCTCTGTCATTGTGAAGCCATTCCTCTGTGTCCTGTCACTCCCATACACTTTGTCAAAAGTCTCTGTCATTTCTGTAACAATTTCTTTAAGTACTGGAAGGCTGCAGTAAGATCTCAAAAGTCACATCTTTCACTAAACTCCAAAGCCACCAGTTGGGCCTACAAGTTATTTTTAACCCCTTTACCAGGTAAATGCCCCAACTTTGCTTTAACAAAATAAATCTAATCTGTCTCACATCCACTCCAATTCTAAACTGTCTCAAATCCACTCCAGCACATGCATAAAGAAACTAATAAATACTCTATGTTCCTGTGAAGCATCTATAACTTAAATCTTCATTTGACAGACTCTCACTTCATCCTCCAGCAGGTCTGTCTTTTGTGAACAGCCCTAAATCCAAGAGGAGTCATGCCCTAATTCCCAGAGGCTGCTCAGTATCCAGTTTTGGTGCAGGTAAAAGCATGATTTGGGGCTTCCAGAAATGTCTTCTGCTCAGCTGTGAAGAAGGCACTTCTGCACAATGGCAGCTCACCCAAGGCAGCAAGGACCAGGCACTGGAGTCAATTCTTCAGGAAAAATCCATATTGCCTTAAATGAGACATTTTAACAGAGAAGGGGAGTGATGTTAACTGTGTAAATCTGAGCCATCAGAACAGCTCAGCGTGACAAATATCTTCATCTTAGCTTGAAACAGACAATTTGTTCTGGTTCTAGGTTAACAAGAATTAACCTCCCCTTACATTCACTGGCAAATCTCTACAGGTTTTGCAGTGTCACTTGGAAAATACACTGAAAATATAAATTACCCCCCCACACCTTTTCCTATTTACTTTCCAAGCCAAGATGTTTGGTTTTACTGGGTTTACTTGAGGAAGCACTTCATACATACCCTGGGATAAATTCAAACAAATAGCTGTACTACAGACCTGCTGGGTAGGAACTGAAGGATCAAGAGGTCTTTTTAATGCCAGCAAACTCCCATTTTTCAGCAATACAGAGCTGGCAGTGCTCTGAACACACACTTCAGCATTTTATAATTGGTTTTATGTAAAAGGAGGCTCGAAATTCCAATCAGGTCCTGACAAATCCCCTCAAAAGTAGTGTCTATTTCATTATAGCTCTCTCCTATTCAGAAAAACAGCAGCATCTTCTAAAATTGATATTTATTTATTTATTCAGCACACTGTTCTTGTGTCCATGCATTTCCCATGTGAAATAGGATGCTGTGGAAAAGTGACATTAATTCCAGGACATATCCAAGCAGGAAGGATGTCCCCATTTATGCACTGCACGTACTACAATGCTAAACTGAGTTGAAGAAAAACAGGTAATGGGAGACTTAGACGGGGGAAAAAAGAGTCAGCTGACACTTCCAGAAATCTGGTGGGATAACTGTGAGCTGGGTATATCTAAGCAGAGAGTAAAAAGGAAGTTTACTGCAGTTAGGACAGCAGCTCTGATTCCAGTGACACAGACTCCTTATCTCCCCGTGGGGAACACGCCTCTCCTTTGCAAACACACACACGCACACAACATGCATGCCTGCACTCAGAACAAGGCAATCCTCATCAAATGCTGGCCCAAATCCTAAAAATCAGCTTGCCAGAACTGCACTTTACCCTTAACAACCAACAACCGAGGAGCTGTGTCAAAAGCAAGAGGGAAAGATCACCCAGTCAGCCTCCAGGTATGTGAATATCACTGATAACTCAAATTCCAAGGAATTTGGCCCCCAGCACAGCTCACACTCAACTGATTTTTATTTTGTCTTCAAGGCATGTTATGGGCAGGTTAAGAGGCATGCAAGTAGGAATAAAGTGGTCAAAACCTTTAAACACATTTTAAAAACTGAAAGAAACCTGCACTTTAGAGCACTCTGGCTCCAGCTTAGCCCACCTCAGTATTAATTCTTCAGCAATACAGCCAAGATTAATTAATTCTTCAGTCACTTCCTAACACTATCCATCACCACCATATAGATCTCAGATGATATCATTTATAGCTATAAAAATGAAATTCTGTTGTGCATTTCCTGCATTCTCTTCAAGTGGTATCACTGTTGGTGGATTTGCCAGTGTTGGATTATTGGTTGGATTTGATCTTTCCCAACCCAAATGATTCTATGATTCTCGGAATTTTGGTAATGTCTGTCAGTGTCTTATTCAGTCTTGGCTTTCCAAACAGTGGGAACAGAGAAAGAAAGTCTTGTTTTGTGGGAAAAAAAAGCAAAAAAATACTTTATATTAGAAGAAATATTTGGTTGCTCACAATGTTGTTCCTCGAATGCTGAAGAAAGCCAATAGAAACCTCTGGAGTGACACCCACCCGAGGTCAGAGGGACAGGAAAAGTGACATCTGTGCCTCATCACTCCATCATCCCTGCCTGCTGGGCCATCCTGGCACGCCTGGAGCCCAGCTGGCCCCGGGAACAAAACCTCCTTGTAGCCACCACCGAGGCGCTGGGCTCCAGCACACGCAGCCAAGTGCTCCTTAGGAAAACAATGCCCGGTTTTCAGCACCACAATCCCCTGCCAGGATCAACAGATTATCTTCTGGCCAGGCTGCACGGCGGCCTGGAGGGAGGAGGAGGAGGAGGAAGGAAACTGCTGGATCAGGCACAGGTCAGACTGAGTCATGCTCTAGCAGGGAAGCTGGGAGGCTCATGGGGAGTCTGTGGCACATTTGTCATTCAGCCTCAAAACAGTGATGCCATCAACAGTTGGATATTGAATTGTTAGAACGCCAGAGGCTGAGAATTTGAAACTTAAAACCCAAACATACAAAAAAAAAATACTATATTTAACCTAAGGCCATAAAAAACCTTCCAAAATTAATTAATAACACTAAAATTACAAGTATATGGTTTATATTACTATTACAATTATATAGTTTATATTATTATTACAAGTATATAGCTTAAATAAAACTATATACTATTGAGTTTAAATAAAACTACATACTATAGTATATGTATAATATATGTCTATATGTATAATAGATATAAATGTCTATATGCATAATATATAAATGTCTATATGCATAATATATATAATGTCTATATAGACATATGTGTCTGTATGTATAATATCCCATATGTCTATATGTATAATATAATATAAAGTTTTAGAATATAATAAAATACATTAAACAAAACAGAAGTCTTAAAAAAACCTAATCCTTCTTCTTACTTTTTCTTCATGATTTAAGTAGTATTTTGTAATTAGACAAAGAAAATCTGCATTGCGGGCTTCGAGTAATTAGTTATTGAATTAAAAGTAAAAATAATTTAAGTGTCATTTCTTAATTAGATAGTTTAACCTTAAAAAACCTTACAACAAAAGATAATTAGTAATTTTGTGCCTTGTTAGTAAAATACTACAAAACTCACTACCTATAAAACTTCAACATAAATAAAATAAACATTTAAACCTAAACACGAAATACCATCTCAAAAGCTTCAATCCAAACCTTAACAA